AATGCCTCAGTAAGACCATACTTGAAATATTGCATCCAGTTTTGGTTGCCTCGATATAAAAAAATATCCCAGAAAGATTGCAAAGAAGAGCAATAAAGATGAATAGGGGACTGAAGGCTAAAACATATGAAGAACGTTTGCAGGAATTGGGTATGTCTAGTTTAATGTAAAGAAGGATTCGGGGTGACATGATAGCAGTGTTCCAATATTTCAGGGGTTGTCAAAGAGAAGAGGGAGTCAACCTATTCTACAAAGCACCTGAAGGCAGGACAAGAAGCAATGGATGGAAACTAATCAAGGAGAGATCCAACTTAGAAATAAAGAAAAAAAATTCCTGACAGAATAGTTAATCAGAACAGTTAACAGATTGCCTTCAGAAGTTCTGGATACTCTAACACTGGAGGTTTTTAAGAAAAGATTGGACAGCCATGTGTCTGAAAAGTATAGAGTATCTTGTTTAAGCAGAGGGTTGGACTAGAAGATCTCCAAGGTCCCTTCCAACACTGTTATCTGATTTGTTTAGCAGAAAACATTGTAAACTCATTTAACAACCATCTTGCAGGCATTTGATCCCCATTGTGGTTGTAAGTTGAGGACCACCTGTACATTTATTGAGACTGGCTATAATAACAGAAGATTACAGGTTTGATTGCATTGTATTACCTCTTTCTTTTCCTCCTTTTTATATTTTGGTGAATTAGAGAGGCATCTGCCTGAACTGCTTGCAAGTGTTATCTGACCATTCTAGATTTAGAAAATGTTTTGCCCTTTGTCACCTTGATGACAGAGTTTCATATCTCCATCAAGGTCATTTTCCTTACTCTCTAATGTTGGGAAATGCAAATATTTGGCAGTGGAGGAGACACAGGTGATTCCAGTGATTGATGACTCTTCTAGGCAACAGCCTAGGATAACCTGTCTCAGCCTTTCTGAAGATTTAAATATAATTTGGCTAATGACATCTACTGTTAAAAATTCAGCATCAGATATCTTTGCTAATCTACTGAAAATCAACTATTCAGTCCAAAGATCTCATTGAATTTTCTATTTGCTGCTAGATTCCCACCCCCTCCCCAGGCCTAATGAAGAAAACTTATATACATGCATAATGAAGCACACCCTAGAGTCATTCTGTCCCCATATTGAGCTTTATTTACTCAATTAATATCTCATATTTCCACAATAAATAGAGTTCAGAAATTCTTCTCCCCTCCCCTGGGGATATTACCAACCAATGTTTGATAAGAAAGGGAGAGGAAGGAAGCACACCCAGATGCATTTTTCCCCCTGTCTTCACAACATCATCACCACCAATCTCCTTGTGGAGAAATTCTAGTGACATTTTCCCCCACATCAGAGGTGGTATCCTCCAGGTTCTGACCAATTCTGGAGAACCAGTAGTGGAAATTTTGAGTAGTTCAGAGAACCAGCAAATACCACCTCTGGCTGGAGATTTTACAGTATCCTTCCCCTGCCACATCCACCAAGCCATGCCCACAGAACCGGTAGTAAAAAGTTTTGAATGCCATCACTGCCCCACATCCTAAATTATTTATGTTTTCTTATAAACTTCTTTGAGTTGGTAGTTGCTTTGAATGAAGGAGGGGAGGGGGAGAAATAACAGAAAACACCAAAAATATTAATTCAAATCTTTTTAAAAAATAAAATCTATTAGAAGGCAAAAGGAGAAGGACATGGCAGAGGATGAGATGGTTAGTGTTGTTGAGGTAATGAACATGAATCTGGGAGACAGACAGGAGGCCTGGCATGCTATGGTCCATGGGGTCACAAAGAGTTGGACATGACTTAGTAACTGAACAACAACAAATTAGCAACCATTTAAAAGAAATTACATAGCAATCCCCAACACTTCTATCTGGAATCCTTACTTCTGATAGTGAATGGGCTGAAACAAATGGCAAAAGACTAAAAAAATTTTTTTGTCCTTCTAGAGCAGGATTGTCAAACTCATGTCGTCGTGGTGATGTCACATGACATATCGGGACTTTTTTCCCCTTCGCTAAACCGGGTGTGGGCACGGCCAGTGTGTGACGCATCGAGCCCACAGGCCAAGAGTTTGTTCTAGAGGACCTTAAAGATAAAATTTGCCTTGTCCCTTGGTAAGAAAGCTGCAGAGCCCTAGAAATAGCCATTGTGAGGATATCTTCTGCCTTACCTGTCAAAGATATTTCTGAGTGATGGGAATGAAAATGGTTTCTTCCAAGGATTTTAAAACTCAGCCAGATTGATTTGAAATAATGTGTTATGGCCAAATTCCCAGAAATCTTGGCTACTTCCGCTGTAGGATTATTGTGATATTATTTTCCATTATTTCTACCATCAACATCCTATTATTTCAGGTGTCAGTCAGACATTATCTTGAAAGGGATATATAATAATCTCTATAATCTTATTGAAAAAAGAAACCTCTGAATGATTTGCATTCGGGTAAGGCTAGCAAGATGCTTGAATGATAATTTGTTGAAGCTATAATTGTGTATTACTCAAAATAGGTGACATTTTAATGATATAATCACACTATGGAGCACTGCACACCAGAACAACTAAACACAAGAACAGTTTTTTTTCCTGAAAGCCATCACTCTGCTAAACAAAATAATTCCCTCAACACTTCAACTATTTTCAAAGTTTGTATTACTATTACTGTTACTCCTCATCCATCCCCTCTCACTTGTGACTGTAGGACTGTAACTTTGTGGCTTGTATCCTTATGATTTATATTGACTGTTTCCTAGTATGATTTGATTGTTGATTGTACCCTATGACTATCATTAAGTGTTGTATGTTATGATTCTTGATTCTTAATGAATGTATCTTTTCTTTATATATACTGAGAGTATTTACACCAAGACAAATTCTTTGTGTGTCCAATTACACTTGGCCAATGAAAGTATTCTATTCTATTCTATCCTATTCTATTCTTTCATTCATGGCCAGGTCTTTATGTGATTGTCCTTTATTTTGGTGGCTTTTGATTTCTTAGTGTAACTTTTATATTCAGTAATTGGACATGCTGATTAACAATCTATGTAAGTAGAAAGACTAAACTTAAAATGACTTTTATTTTTTATTTTATTTATTTATTTGATTTGTCAATCGCTTACAAGATAATAGATATAAGTATAAACATGAGTAAGAATACAGGAAATAGGTATGAATAAATGGGGACAATAGAATAAGGATGGTAGGCACGATGGTGCACTTATCCACGGCCGTTTTTTGGAGGGTTATAAATTTTATTTCTGATTAATTCAATGAAATTAGACCAGTCTAAACCAAATTGGATGTTTGAGAAATATTATTCTTATTATATATTTTTGTTAGATAACTATGTTAACTGAATGTAATTCTTACTTTAAACCAGCTCAGGCTAATATTGTATTTATATGCATGTCAGTTACTCTAGTTTAGCCATGAATTTCCAACTTAGTTTAATGTAGAGCCTTCAAATAACCACCCAGTCTCAAATAATACAGCTCTTGCTGCCCAAACCTCCCAACCAACCAAAAATCCAATTAGAATCTCTGGGACTGAGTCATCCTTTTTTTAAAAAAATGTGTACTCCTTACCTGCTTCTGGATCCATGTTGCTGTTAGCCACTATTTATTTATTTAACTCAATTTAGGCATTGCCCAATTCCAAATCATCCATGGATAGTTCACAATAAAAATAAAAGCACAAGATGGAACAAGATGAGATCCAATCACTCCACACAAGACATAAAGGGCTCTATCCATCTCTACCCCAGCCTGAAAGAACCACCAAGTCTTCAAGGCTTTTCAGAATTTGATCAGGATGGGAGTCACATGGAGATACGTAGGGGGAATCTCATTGTGAAATCCCATGGTAAAGAAAGGCACATTTCTGAGTCCCCATAGATGGAACTGTTTGATTATAAAGACCTGGAGCATACTAACTCTTCTGGCATATACTGGCCATCAGAAACCATGGGAGATATAGGGCTTTATAGGTAATGGCCAGCATGAATTAAATCAATATGTAAAACTAAAATCTTTGTGTCATCTTGAGAAATGACACAAAATCACTACAAAACTCTAAATTGTAAAATTTACACTGATACCACTCACCATTATTTATCACTATCTAAAATAAATAGACATGATCTTTTGAAAAGAAAAATAAATATTCAAAACAATCAGCAAAAACAATCATCAGTCCATATCAATAGAAGGCAATATAAAACATTCACTACTTTTAAAATATCCCAACCAGATTTCCTTACCAGGCCTTCTGGCAAGACGTAAGGTACATAAGCTGTAATTTAGACCACACCTTCAGGACCAGATATTCTTCATCCTTGATTAGATAGGGCCATGATAGATATAATATGGGAGAACTGTGAATAGGAACTATGAATAGGAATATTTAGATCATTGCTGTAGAGCTAATTCTTATCTTGAGTTGCTGGTTTTCCTCAGGCTCCATATTAAATTGTAAAATTCTGCATTGGTATGATTCTGATTGGTATCTTAACTTTCAGAAGAAAAATCTGGAATGGTTGTTCTATCTGAAATGTTTCATTGAGGAGAAATAAGTTTGTTATTCCTAAATTTTATAAAATTCTGCTTGTTTGGCAAATCTCCTGTTTGAGACACAATCCCTATTCAGGCATTCAGATGTCCGCAACATACAGGCTACATTGGGACACACGCATTGGTTTCTGCTTTATTTATTTCCATCTTTATCAGATTGATGGTGAAAATCTAAAGCACAAGTTCCAGAAATGACCATTCTTGCACAGCTACCAGTATAAGACATTGACCAGTAAAAATGCTGAAATATGCCTCAAGAAAATCTGATGACCTTGAAAAATGGCATACCATTTTTTAAATAAATATAAAATGATTTTTTAATCTAAAACCAGCAGAAAAGAGGAGATAATGGTCTGAGGCGTTTTCAAAGAATTAAACAATCTCTATTTATTGATTTTATTCATTTGTTTACAATAATTTAGTGCTGCCTACTGACTAGATTCTAATGGCTTACAATTTTAAAAATGTTAAGGTCAATATTCTATGTAAATCAATCCAATAATATCCATGCAATCATTACCGATGCTGTCACTGCTCTTCTATTCAAATGCCCCATGAGAGAAGACTGTTATCACCATCTTTCTAATTACCGAATGGGAACAGCATCTTGACTTTGTAGAATAAGCTTCTCTGAAGTGATGGAGTTGCTACCAAGAAAGCCATAGTCAGGGCTTTTGCCCTCTTGCTTGCTTGGTCTCACAAAAAGTGGGCACCCTATCTGACTAGGCTGTGTCTACTTAGCACATATATTTCCAAAAGTATTGGATTAAGTGAAGTGTGCCATCCTCACCCACACCCTGCTATAGACCATCAAAAGAATGAGCAACGTGTTTTTGCCCCATGACTAGGCTTGAGCCCTGACTAAAAAGGATTTAAATAATATTTATTATGCAGGGTTACTTCTAGTTGTAGTCCAATCGTCTTTTTTAGTTTCCACTTTGTCTTTACTTCCACATTTTGATCACTGCTGCAACCACTGCCTGCAACGGTCATAAGTGTAAAAAATTGTCAGAAGTCACTTTTTTCAGTGTCGTAACTTTGAACAGTCACTAAATGAATCATTGTAAGTCGAGGACTACCTGTATTTCTGATAATAATTGGTTGTTAATGAGTGGAGTGGGAAGGACTGCCATCTTGGATCTGTCTCAACCCTGAGCATGGTGCCCTGAGATGTGTCTATGTGGGTTTTTTAAAACACCCAGTGTATGTACTGTGCATGGTGATTCTCAAACATGATTTCTTTTGGGGATTACTGAAGTGATCATACAAGACAGCATGATTGCATGAATTTTTTAAGAGGTTTTAGGCTGCAGTCTATGCAAAACAATGCTCACTGCTTTGAGTAAAAAGATGCTTTGTCGACTCACAAATACAAGCTTCTTGGAAAATGACATATTTCATCAGATCTAACTCCTTTCCCATTATGTTTCAAACCTTTTAATTTCATCCCAAGAAATAGCAGAAAGAAAGGAAAGTACAGTGCAGAACTTTTATGAAAAAAATAATAACAGACCTCTGTTGATCTGCGTTCCTCAACTTTGACAACTCTAACATGTGGACTTCAGCTTCCATAATTCCCTAGTCAAGAGGGCTGGCTGGGGAATTCTGGGAGTTGAAATACACACATTAAAGTTGTCAAGGCTGAGAAACTCTGCTGTAAAGAATCCCCATAATACATTTTTTTCTAAGTATCATAAATCCTTCCCAAGCCTTTCAATCTCTTCCAAGAGGAAATCAACATCTGCTTTTTTGGTTGCTGGATTAGAGAAGACCATTCGGAAAAAGTTCACATTGTCCCCTAAAGGCTGGTAGCTAACCATCGTAGTGCCTTCTTCAATTATCCTTGCTTTTATTTTTGGAGCAACCTGGATAGATATGACAGAAAACAATACTTAATTCTGGGATAATGCATTAAAGAGACTAAGGAATAAGTAGTAGCAGCCATTATTTTGGAATGATGGCAGAAATATGAATTAAAGTGTATGTTTATATCATATTAAAATATGGTAAAACTTATGCTTATCAATATTGACATTTTAGAAATGTCTTCATATTGATATTAACTTTTTTCTTTATCTTTCAAGACTTAAACATTCTAGTGTTAAAATTATCCAGTCAATATGGTATAAATAGCACTGTATTCAAGTAATGTAATGTATTACTTATGCCTTATCATAATTCAATAAAACAAATTAAAGAATGAAAAAAGGATTCAATGGTGAGTCTTGGATTAGAAAAATAAACAAAGTAGAAACAGACTGGAATGAAATGTTGGGTGAAACCATGCAGAATAAAAACAGTCCATCAGAAACTGAGGGCAAAACCAGAGCTTCAGCCACTGCAGATTGTATCTACTATGCATAGATTAAACTACCCTTTCCAAAATGCTTGATTGCATGACCCTTCATCTCTAGAAGTCATACTCAATGGTTCATTGGTAAGGATAGTAAGAATTGTCCTCTACCATATTTAACTTATGTGAAATATGGAGGGATAGATAGAACATTTTAGTTCCGTAAATACTTACTCCAACACTGTGCTTTTCAAACTTGGCAACTTTAATATGTGTGGACTTCAACTCCTAGAATTCCATACCCAAAATGGTTGGCTAGAGAATTCTGGGAACTGAAGTCCACACATATTAAAGTTGCCAAGATTTATTTTTTTTTGGTGGGGGTGTGTGGGGGAGCCAGAAAATGTACATATGAACTTTTACCTGATGAAGTCTTTTGTCTCTTTCTGGCCCCTTTGGGATATGTCGAAGACTTGGTGGGATATACCAGAAGCATACATTGCTAAATTCAGGCTTGAAGATTTAAAAAAAGAAGAGGTAAAATAAAACATTTTTATTTCTCAACAAATGTTCTACTTTATCAAATAGGCAGGAAAAATTGTAACCTGAAGTCTTATAAACAAAATTAAAATAAATGCACTCTTTGTGCAAAATCCTTACCATCAATATGAACCCATGATAAGCCCATGAATTGCTCTGCTGGCATTTTCTTGTACCTGATGACATTGCATGAGTTCTTCTCTTTTCCATTTAATGCCCAGCATGAAAAAAACTCATTGGAAATATCAGCCACTCTACTTCCTTCCTTCCTTCAGAACTGCCTCTCCATTAAACACAACTATTCATCCCTGTTTAACATAGGGTAAAATATTTTCTACTGCCAACCCAATAAACATCACGAAATAGCTCAGGGGTCATTTCTCCACTGTGGAGTCAAAATTCATTATGAATTAAGCTAACACTTGTTTTTATTAAGTTCGCTGAAGCCTTAAATATTGGCTGAATTTGTTTCTGCATGAACATAAATTTTAACACTTTATTGAGAATTAGCATTGGTTCAGGTGTATGATATTTCCATCAAACATTTATTAATATCTACGGAGATAAAATGTGTGAAAAAACAATCTATTTAAATTTCATTAATTATATACAAGTCTCTGAGGCATCTCAATGAATTATTACACGTTTTAAAGCTGGTTATTTTCTATTAGCTCAGAAAAAAATTGATGTGTGTGAAGAACATTCCATAAATACCAAAAATTTAAGCTGTAGAACCTTTCCAGATCTAACTTATATTGACTTTAATTTTTCATAGTCCTTTTTTTAGTTTAGTGATCATTTTACAACTGCTATTTGTGAAGCATTTTTATGTCTTTTGATTCATATTACACATTTGCTACTCTATTTTTCTCTCCTGGGGCATTATGAAAACTAAGGATTGCCTTTTCTGATGTTTACATATTTATGAAATATTTTTCATTTTACACATTAATAGCTCAGGGAAATCTCTGGGGCTTAACGTCAAATAAATATGCACCCACATGAATTTGTAAAGAAGTTCTGGAAAATGTAGAATTCTAGCATTAGAACTCTACTTAGCTGAAGCAGAAATATGAGGTTCATACCCATTTTTAAACATATTTTCATTTAATCTGATTAATTTATTTGGCAGCTACTGAACCTAGCGAAAAAGATGATTCATTCTTCCTAATCACTGGAAATCTTGATTCATACCCAGAATGTGTAATGCAAAGAATTCACTTGCATGAAGGTTCATATGCAAAGTTTCAGCTAAGGAAAAAATAAAGACTGAGGGAAAAAAAGATTGGAGGAGGTGGGGGTAGAAGAGGAAAAAACACATTTATTCCCTATAATCCACCCAAGAAAGATTGGAAGACCTTTGTAACTTTTGTGATAATGAACTTAGTATGCCCATTTATTTATTTAATTTATATCCTGCCATTATTGTTTTTACAAATAACTCAAGATGGCAATTACAGGCAATATTCCTTCTTCTTCCTATTTTCCCATAACAACCTGCGATGTGGATTGGGCTGAGAGAGACTGGCCCAAAGTCATCCAGCTGGCTTTCATCGCTAAATTTGAATTTATGATCTCCTGCTTTCTAGCTGGCTTCTTAACCACTAGACTGAACTGGCTCTTTTCATCCTTTGTGAAGAAGACTTGTGGGATCTGAACACTATAGAACAGGGGTGTCAAACACAAGGCCCGGGGGTCAGATATGGCCCATGAGGCCATCCTGGAATCAGCAAAGGGCTGGCCTGTGGTGCCTCTGCCAGCAAAACTAGAGCCTGGGAGGTCCACAGGCAGTCCTCTGAGCTCCATTTTTGCTAGCATAGGGTTACAGGAGGCTATCAGAGCTGAAAATGGAGCTCAGGAACCTCATGCCACCACAGGTGCCCCCAATACAAGTGATGTCGAGCTGGCCACACCCACCCTGCCCACAGCCATAGTCCTGGCCCTCCAAGGTCAAACACATCCCTGATGCGGCCCTCAATGAAATTGAGTTTGACACCCATGCTATAAGATTAACAAAATAAAGAAGTAATACAGAGACTTCTTGCCGCTGTTAACTCCTAACCTCAGCATCAAAAACCAGCTCATAGTTGTTTCTTGTCTTGAGTTCCTTGTAAAGATATTCTGCGAGTTCCAAAAATTTGTTGATAAGAATTTCAAATCCTCCTGTGCCCTGTAAGATACAAAAGGCAGAACAAACATGAGTCATTCTATTGTCTACTGCAATTTGGCAGGGTAAAATATCAATGATTTATCTGGGGCCAGCAAACAATTAAAATGAGATCCTCCCACTGTAAATTAACATAATGGCTATATTGTAATTTCAGAAGCTGCCTTTTCAAGAATACAAAGGTTCCTCTGCAGATTTTTATTGGAGCTTCATTAAAAAGAAGTCCAGCAATGTTAAATAAATACTTTTATTGCTGGGGCCAGCAATACTGATCAGAATTTATATCATTAATTAATTAATTAATTCATGCATTCATTCAAATGTATTGCAAATGGATATGTATGTATACATTTATTAATGGTATTGATTTTCATTGAAAAAATATTCTCAAGTGATACGGTTTGTTATAGAATGAACTAAATCTAACATTAAAAACTATGAAACTGAAAGCAGCCGACTTGTTCATCTTTAGTCAGGCACTTCATCCAGTAATGAATGTGCTCCTACTTTAGCTCTCCACATTAGCCATAGTTTGAAGACATCAACATGTCGGCCACACTGGATTGATTTGTCTCCGGTGTCATAAACTGTATCATAAGCCTTGTCTGATTGGAAGAGATAGTCAGCACAGAGCTGATTGCAGGCTTGGAGAAGACCCTAGGGGAGATAGAGAATGAGAAAAGCTTTGACCAACTATTTTATTTTACGTATTGGCTCAATGGCTAAGACACCGAGCTTATCGATCAAAAAGTTTGGCAGTTCGGCAGTTCGAATCCCTAGCACCACGTAATGGAGTGAGCTCCCGTTACTTGTCCCAGCTTCTGCCAACCTAGCAGTTTGAAAGCATGTAAAAATGCAAGTAGAAAAATAGGGACCGTGTGCGTTCCGTGTGCCTTCAGCGTTTGGTCATGCTGGCCACATGACTACAGAGACGTCATTGGACAGCGTTGGCTCTTCGGCTTTGTAACAGAGATGAGCACTGCCCCCTAGAGCCGGAAAATGACTAGCACGTATGTGCAAGGGGGATCTTTATGATCTGATATATTTCTAGAAATGAATCAGGACAGGGCTGTGATTCCCACCAAGCCAAATGTATAATATCCATGTATTAAATTGCTTCTCAGTTAATGGCCACTTGTTCAGTGACTAAAGTTGTGATAGTACTGAACAAGTGGTAGTTACAACCAGTCCTCAAAATTCTGGCTATCACAGCAGCCCTGTGCTCATCATCAGTTCACGATTCAAGTGCTTGGCAACAGTTGTAGTATCATACAGTCATGTGGCTACCTCTTGTAATCTTCCTTGTCAGTTTCCCACAAGCAAAGTCAACAGTGAAATCAGCAGGGAGGGTTGTAAGTCAGTTCCATCACTTTTTTCTCCTAAGGAGCCTCACTTGTATTCCGTAATGAACTCATGCTGGAGCAAACTGTCCTCAGCTCCACTGATCGTCTCTATTCCCCGTATGAGTGCTCAAAAGTAAGCCAATTAATTTCAGTAAAAGTAGCTTCCATACGATACAATGGTAGCCTCATCCTACAAATCTTTCCTTGTGCAATATTATTTCAGCATTATTTAGATAGAAACGTTATTTTTATAGCAAAAACAGGTAGGCCTACCTGGACAAAAAAAAAAAAAGCAAATTACCTTTTCATGGACTAAAAAAGCCGAGCACTGTAGAGGAACACCCATCAGTTTGTGAGGATTCCATGTAACAGAGTTGGCTCTAATTAAAGAGGAGAACTTTAATATCTGCAGCTGCTTTAATATCTGTGTTAATATCTGCAACTATATGATTATAGAAACTCAACAAAAAAACAGAAACAAAGCAAGGGGATTTTAAATATGGAACACTTAAAGAAAATATAAGTATTTTTTTAAAAGCTGGAAAAAATAAACTCTAAAATTATGTACAGATCTCTGATCACTCTATGATCCTGTGTAAATGTATGCATTTATACACTAGTCATTCGGTCACCATACAATCACACACTAATTCAGTGAAAAACCACTGTTCACTGTATATAAGTATCAGACTGGAAGTGGTTGATGGATTAAGGGAAGATCCCACCCTCAAATGCATCGTGCTTCCTTCTTCCCCATCCTTTTAATTGTAATTGTAATGTAATACTGTTCTTAGGAATATTTATTGTTTATGATTTTATTGGCGTTTAATGTTTGTAAGCTGGCCAAAGTCGCCTCGAGGTGACATAAGTGGCAAACAAATATAATAAACACAAAAAAACAAACAAAAATATTTATTGATAAGCTTGCGTTTTTAGTTCCTGATTATCACCAGTTCTTTTACTTGGTACATAAAATGAGGGAAGTATTCCCACATTCAGTTTAACTGCAAGTGTCAATGGGTTTGTTTAGGGGAAAATTGTACCCTCTGTGATTAGTTGAACTGGGTCTAATACTGCTTTTCCATTTTCCCAACATATATCTCTTTGACCTCCAACTGATGCACAGGTTGTAGGAATAGGATCTATATTTTTTCCTCCTGCTTCTCATAATACAACTCACTTTGGTTGTCCGTGAGTCATTATCCTTGTAATTATATTCTTTATCTTCTCTTCAGGGAGAGGTTAGAAACAAACAAACAAAAATACTATATTAATCTCACTGCCGTACAAATAAATTACATCACAAGATGCTTACCTTTCAATGCCACTCAATTTATGGAAATGCTTTCTTGACAATAGTAAACCACCTCCCCATGATGCCTATTGAAATTAAACACACAGTTATCTAAATGAAAAGATTCCACCTTTTATCACATTTTGCCAGCCATACTTACTACAGTGGCCTTTCAAAAATATAAGAATCCCAAAATGAGAAAACAGGGAAAAAAAAGAAAAGTCTGATTGTCTGATTTTATAAAACTTTTGCTTTTTATGAAGCAGAATACAGAGTGGTTCTTTCTGTTCTGTTATATTCTGGGAGTGGAGGAGCAGTGCTTGAGTGGAAATAATTGTATTTTATAAGGTATTAAAAATAAAAGTTATTGTATTAGTATTAGTTATATATTTCAACAGTGGAAGGAAAAACTAGAATATCCAGTTTTGGAGAATCAATGATACCAAGTGTGAAGGAATAAATTAGAAATAGGAATGGGAATGGGAATAGGAAAAAGAATAGAACAGAACAGAATAGAATAGAAGCTGGTGGGGACCTTGGAGGTCTTCTAATCGAGCACTCTGCTCAAGCAGGAGACCCTATACCAGTGGTGTCAAATTCATATTGTCACGGCAGCATCACGTGACGTATCGGGACTTTTTTCTCCTTCGCTAAACTGGGCGTAGGCATGGCCAGCATTTGATGCATCCGGCCCAGGGCTGTGAGTTTGACAGCCCTGCCCTATACCATTTCAAGTGGTTGTCCAGTCTCTTCTTAAAAACTTCCAGTGATGAAGTGCGAAGTGCCCATGATTTCTGAAGGCAATGTGAATATACATTTAACAGATAATCAGAGTTGGAAGGGACCTTGTAGGCCATCTAGTCCAACCCTTGCCCAAGTGGGAGACCCTACACCATTTCTGACAAATGGCAGTCCAATCTCTTCTTGAAAGTCTCAAGTGATGGCGCTCCCACAACTTCCGAGGGCAAGCTGTTCCATTGGTTGATTGTTCTCACTGTCAGAAAGTTTCTCCTTATTTCCAGGTTAAATCTTACAATTTAAACATGAAATTGACTAATTAGAAAATATTATTTCATGTTTATGGGACAATCAAAAGAATGATCATTATTTTTTTTTATGTGGGCATTGTAAAAGATTTAACAGTTTTTCTTAATTCATATGATCTGGTCTTTCCAATTGTAGCCTTGTTTTGGTTTAAAATCACTGTCAAAATATATAGGAAAATAATGTTATAGTTAAGGAACCATGCAATGTTTAATTATATTTGTAAAATATGAACTTTGTCATCTCATGAGAAGCTTTGGCTCTATTGGAGCAACTGGAAAGAAACTTATTCTCTAATATTAAGGACAGTACATAGGATATGGCTTTGTTATCTAATGATAAGGATTGAATTAAAGTTATGTTATTGTAGCTATTGATCCTTTTTCTGATTCTCTTGTTGTCATTCCCAGTATATACTAATCACCATTTTATTTATTTATTTATTATTTATTTATTTATTTGTATCCCACCTTTATTATTTTTACAGATAACTCTGGGTTAAGGTCACTCAGCTGTCTATCATCGCTAAGGAGAACCCTTAACCAGGTTCTAGCCTGGGCCTTAACCACTAGGCCAAACTGGATATAATAACAGTATGCTGATATGATGGTGCAGCAGGTTATTCTTTGACTTCAGTTTTCTACTTGTATCCTTTACTGAAAATATTGTGTTTAAAACATTTTAAGTTAAACTAAGCTTTTTAAAAGTTTAAATAACATAATGTAGTGTTTGAGAGCTGGCTTGATATAGTGGTAAAGGCACCAGGTTCAAGATCAGGAGTCTGTAAGTTCTAATCCTTTGGCACAAAATTGTCTGGGTGACATTGAGTCTTTTAGCTTCTGCAGTCCAGACAGTTGCGAGGACTCAACAAAAAGTACATTTTAAAATGTATCATATTATGTACTGAATAATATGAATTAGTCATAGGAAGGAAATTACTGAAGTCAAATAACAAATCTCCTGCAACATCCCATTAGTTATATTCTGGCTCAGGGTGTTATTCTGATATAACCAAGATTTTCTTCTTACCTAGGTTTACATTAAGTGAATAATCTTAAGGGTGGCAATGACCTTTCTCTCCTTGAAAGCCAGTAACATCTTTCATGGTTATTTCTGCTCATTGTGTGTAATTATAAATCAATCTTATAAATCAACCAATTCACTGAGTTCTAAATTGTCTTAATAACTGTTATTTATACACATGTCTTTGGTCTGTGTGAATATTTATCTGAGCTGTATAAATCTATCAAATAGATGTTACAAAATCTGAAAAAAACAAACACTAGAGTTTGCAATATCCATAGAAACAAGCAACGTCTCTTCAAATCATTAAAGCCATCCAGAGTCATTTTGGAGGGTAAGATGGGCGGCATATAAATTTAATCAATCAGTAAGCGTATTTTTTCTAGACTCATAAAGCTGATTTGTAAGCTGTGTCAAGCTAACTCTGCATACTGAGGAAACTGGGCCTGTACATTTGTGAGCGGATAGCTGGCAGCAGCTTATAGAGCAGCCCAACTTCGGTTTCACCACAAATTTGTTGCAGCACTGAGTGTGAAAACAAGGATCTTACATCCACATGCAGCCAAAGATTGTATTTTTCACAAATCTCAGCAATGTTGACAAGAGGATCAAAGGCTCCATAGACTGTTGTTCCAGCAGTGGCACTAACATACAGTGGTATTTTTCCCTGAAAAAGAATATAACATCCTACATTAAAGCAAAGGCAATTTGTCCTCTGTCAGAATCATTATTATAATTAAAACATTTTTCCATTTTGGATGGGGTGCCTAGGTACTATATAGTGAGGACATTTTAGCTCAGAAGAGATCAATTTATGTATTAATTGTGTGCTTTGAACTTTCATAACTTTAAACATCTTCCTTATTAACTATCAGATAATAAATATTGCATTAATAAAAATGTGTCAATAAAATAATAAAATAAAATGCCTTCTTCCAACCAAACAAAGCACAACTTGTAATGCCCTCAAGTGAAGACTGATTTCTGGGAACTTGAATGGTAATATTGACAACAATATGAAGTGACTTGTCACCGTTGCGTTCTGGGATGATTCTCAATCTAACACTTTCCTCCCAAGTACAACTTTTTCCAATTCCTGTTTACCTTCTAAGCCCACAAAAAATTATTAAAGTACTATTGACTTTCATAGATATTATTAGAAAATTTAAAAATGGTGAATTGGTGCATCCTAAAGAATTTTTATGAGAATATGCCAACAAGAATCTGGGATCATAGCAGGTGTGGTATTCAGCAGGTTCTGACCAGTTCTGGAGAACCAGTAGCGGAAATTTTGTGTAGTTCGGAGAAATACCACCTCTGACTGAATATTTTACAGTATCCTTCCCCTGACATGGCCACTAAGCCACGCCTACAGAACCGGTAGTAAAAATTTTTGAATCCCATCACTGGATCGTAGGACACATCTGAAGCACTTGAAAAAATAAACCAGTAAAAAGCTGGTCCCAGGAGTGGGATTCTACCAGTTCTGTCCACCTCTGTAAAACCGATTGCTCTGAAGAGCAGCAGACATAACATAAAATGTAAAATCACCGAACCAGTGGTCAGATCCCACCACTGGCTGGTCCACCACAGTAATCATTTTGTGGACAAATACCCATCCTGTTTGCCTTGCAAGCATTAGACAATCTATTATATGATGTCAAAATTGTAAATATCTCTATTGACTGAAAAGATTGCCTACCCATTTTAGCCATAGTCTCACAAATTTAATTAGACAGGTATGGTCTTAGAATTGAGAAGGGGAAATGCATTTTCACAACAACAGTGATTACGCATAGCTCAAGGCAAGGTTGGCACATTCAATTCTTGGACTTCTAACTTGACTTTGAGGTTGCAGAGATTTCATTGACCTACTAGATAACATCATCAGGAAAAGATTTTGGAAGATTTGTAGGTTGACGAAGATTATGTCTCCTTCAGTTTTCCCTGCTTTCTTAGATGGGAGGTGCACATGTGTTTTGTAGAGACTGAGGCCTGGTTGATTCTTAAGCTACTGTTCTTTTTCTATGATTGATGCATTGCAGCTTGTTTTATTATTAGATTGATGAGATGTTTCTAATCTATCCAGCTACTGGTGGATTAATCTGTGATGGTGAACTGTTGTTGCATGTTGACCTGATATACTGTCTTTTGATACGAGGACTTAATCTATATTAGTTGGTCACTTTTTTGTTAACTGTGCAAGTTTGCCCTATACATCTATGCGGTGTTCACAGTATTTGAATTTTATTTTGTATATGACTCCTGTTTTGTCTCTCCTTACTATTTGGTCTTTCGGTTTGCTTAATATATTCTGCAATATATTCTGTTGGTTTGTTTACCAGGATTATTTTAAACAATTTGAGATAGGAGATGGTTGTAATTTTTATGGTTTGTAGCATTTATGTTTTTGTTGGTTGGCTTGACATGCACCTTTTGATGAAAATGTGTGGCTATTTAGTGTATTGAAAGTACCATGTAAATAGTTGATTTCTTCTTTATGTGATTTCAGTGTGTTGCAGTGTGTCATGACTCACTTTAATATGCAGTACTGTTATGTGCTATTTGATTAAGATGGTTTGGTTGGTGAATTGTTTTCTGGCAGATTTATGTTTGTAACATGGTGTATTCTTGCACAATTAGAATGTCTATAAGGGTTAATTTGTTGTTTTCTTTTTCTGTGAATTTGATTCCCTTGTAAGTATGGTTGATTATATATTTTCTAACTATAATTTTTTATTTTGACAAAGATGTCATCTATGTAGTGAATTCAGATTGCAACTGAGACAATGGAAAGACTATTTTTTAGATATACATTACTATTCCTATGTACTATGTATAAATTTCGAGGTCCCTTTGATCTATTTATAGATTTTACTTTCAAACTGGAAGTACATAGTGAGACATAGAAATATGAGTTCTATAGGTTTGAGTATTTTAATCTTGTGTCTTCAGTTAGGTTAGGTATGATGTAACAACACAGTAATTGTTTCTTTTACTAGTTTCTGGTTGCCCTTTTTTATATTATCTGTGTACATTTGCATTAGATTATATTGCAGGGCAAAGATAGATTTATTATTATTATTATTATTATTATTATTATTATTATTATTATTATTATTATTATTATTATTATTATTATTATTATCATTGTTGTTGTTGCTGTTGTTATTGCCTTTAATTTATTTTGCCACCACTTTTGAGTCTTTCAGCATAAAGTTCAACACCCAACCTGATGTATATGTTTCTAAATAAGTTAGACTTCCAGGGGTTTTCAATTAAAATTGCGATATAATGGCACTTGCTCTTCTTTCTTACAAGCTCAAAATCTTTCCTACAGTTTCCAAATTATTTTCCTCTTCTGCTTGATTATTAGACTGTTCTTTATTTTTTTTTATTTTTTATTAATATATTTATAAACCACCTTTTCTCAAGTAGTTTCAGAGTCATGAACAATAAGCATGAGATAAACATATAACAAAGACATGCAATCAAAGCATTGGTAGTGAAAGAATTTGAATAAATGTTTTGAAGACAGTAAAAATATAGTAAAACAGAGTAACCAGCTAAGTTCAAAAATGTTTTTTAACTGATATTAAAATTATTGGAGTCAGTAGTACTTCTAAAATACTATGGTTGAGCATATTGTACAAGGTGGCCAAGGATGCTATCTTTCCCAACTGCTTTTCCATTATAAATCTTTGCAGCCTGCCCAGTGCTAACATTTTCTAATCTAAAAAGGATGGTTTTTCTTATGCTATCTTCCTCTGGGGTGTAGCTGAACTGTGAGGAAGTAGAAAATTCTTATGGTCTTTTTAAACTACCATCTCATTAATCTGATCTTTTTGGTGATGGATGTCTATGCTAAAAATAAAGATGAGCAATGGATTGTTGTTTCTATCTGCTCATTTGTCTATCTTTTCCCTTTTGGAAAAAAAAAAAACCAAAAGAAAGAAAACTTTTCTACATATTTCTAGATATCTCACTGAAGCCAAATTGCCATTAACATGATAATTCAAAGTTATAAACCAAATTATGTTCCAGAGGAATAGTCACGTGAATAGAGGCTGAAAGATTTTATAGGTTTCTTGGGACATGAATCTTTGAAGGGAAGTAGCCTACTTTATCAAATTAATAAAGATGCCATGAAGCATAAAACCAGTACAAAAAGACAACAAACAAACCTGTCTCTTGACTTTGATAATATTTTCCTCCAGTTCGGTTGGAATCATTTTCCCTCTGTTTAAATGTTTTAAAAAGTGAAATGTAGCATTTGATAAAGATGGAATGCTCAAATTTTTCAAACATGTAAAAAAACTTTCTTTTGCAAGCGGAACAATTCACAGATATATACTTCTGAATAAATCCCCATGAGAAGCAAGTTCCATCCAATCATCCTCAACATGGACACACCTACATGCACCAAAAAACCCACACAGTAAAGTGAAGCAGAAAAGGAAGAGCTTGTAAATCTAATTCCTCCATTGTTCATTTTTTTTCAGGATACATGGTAGACTTCCTCAGTACTGTAGAACAATATTCTATTGCTTATTAAAAACCCATTTGTAGAGGGAGGCTACATTAAGAATTATGAGGAAATTACACAAGCAGAAGTGTCTATTGATAGACACCTCTGCGTGTGCAGGTTCCCACAATTCAAATACTGTACCTTTGAATATGTAGAAAATTGTGAGAATATGAAATAAAGACACAATAAAAGTAATAAAGCCAGAGAAATCTCCTTTTCTGTCTCCAAGAAATTATGAAGGATATCAGTGAAGCCCTATCTTTTTTTCTCTCTCAGCAAACAAAATAAAGTCTTTTATTGCTTGAAGAGGACGTAGACTTAGATTTACAGTAGAAGTTCAGAAAAAAGGTCATTTATTGTTTTAAATTGTACTAATATCCTTTGTTAAAGCATCAGTCATTTTTCTAATGGACTCATTCATTATATGCATTGGTGTTCTTGGTTTCCTTACACATAAAGCCAGTTTTTTTTACTGTGACAACAAACTTCAGCAGCTACATCTTGATGACACCAATGGGGACAATAGACCTAGTTTGAGCTGATATATTATTTATGAAAAATTAATTGATACATTTTACAAGAATCCCTTGACTTCATAGCAGATCTGTACAATGCTGGAGGAAAAAGTGTCTGGAGGCAATAATTGAAATAACCTATGCTGCTCTGGGAAAAGTACCTGTTTCTCATTGTTTGTGAAATGCTCCAAGGAAGTAGAAATTATTGTTAAATAACTGACAACTAAGTCATTTACTCAGGGAGATTTAACCTACTGGGAGGAGAGGGGGGCATTTTGTGAAAATAATGAAGCCAGAAGATGAAAATGCATCTCTATTAAAGAACATTAGAGGAAGTGAGTTGTAGATACTGATATTATACAGGAAAACTTTGAGAACCTTACCTTTCATCACATTTGATAACAATAACATTATCCAGCCCAATTCCAACAACTGCTGCTGCCTTTTTTATAGAATAGTGACTCTGAAATAATTTAGAGGAGAAATCATCAAATAGGGAAAAAAAAGACTTCACAAAATGCATTAAAGATAAACAATTTTATAATCACTCTTGTCTTAAGAAAAATGAAACTGGGTAACATTGAGTTTAAAAACATGACTTGTCTGACTGTTTTAACAGTCCTTATAATTGTATCTTGGTCTGGGAGCAAATCCCTTGAATCAAATTAGAGGAACCTGTGAATAGGTATGTATAAATAAGTTAAGAAACAAATTAAGACAACAGTGATATTAGAGGAGGCAGCAGATGACTTTCAAAATTCTCAATACTTTTTGTAGGGTGATCAAGGATACTTCTAAGGAGAAAAGATTTCAAAGTATTTTTTTAGAGTTAATTAGCAATGGCCATAATACAATTTACTTCTTTTGAGGGTTTGTTACTGATGGAAGTGATTCCTCCCTTTCTCAGTACTGTTAATTTAATATAATTGTGGGGCATTATGCAGAAAAATAGCCAACTACCACGAACAATTTGAATCTGTTTTGAGAAAGTTACCTTCTTAGCATAGGGAAAGTGAAAGAAATAACACAAAATAAGCTAAATTATTTCTATGAAAGCTTACCTCATAAGTGAAATTTCCAATAAGTGTGCCTTGTCTAAACTACAGTCAAAATATCTCCCTAATATAATCTATAATACAACACTGTTGTGATCCATGAGGAAAATATAATCAAAGTTCATAACTCTTTGATTTATAGTTTATTAATTTATAACTGCTTAGGCCAGTTATCTTTTTTAGATTGTGACAAAGTGAACCACATTTTATGCACATTGGAATTTATGTTAGGCAAATCTTTCACATCTGATGTTCTATAGATATAAGGGTTCTCTTACTCATAGAGTTTTCCAGTTCTCCTAATTATATTTTAATACATAATAACAATACATCTAGAATAACAATTTTCATTGTCTCAGGGTTGACTCATCCTTCTATCCTTCCAAGGTTGGTAAAATGAGGATTCAGATAGTTAGAAGCAATATGCTGACATTGTAAACCACTTAGAGAGGGCTGTAAAGCACTGTGACGTCTAAGTCTAAGTGCTATTGCTATTATAACACACCTAGAGCCAGTTGCTATATTGGAATTAGCAACATTAAGTTGACACAAAATCATATTGTGCCAGCAACATGGAGCAAGGATGACTGCAACAGGAATAATTGTTCCTAGGCTGAAAGATTCATGTGTTAGTTACCAGTCATTGACTTTGCTCTGGGACTTACACAACATCTCTTGTGACTGTCATGGCAGAAATAATTCACAATGCAGTGGAACAGCAAATGTACATTATTGCTAGCAGGAAGCAACATTTCCTCATCTCTATAACTAGCCATGATTTATACATTAAAAATTCATTTTCCTCCCTTTTGACAAGGTAACTTTCTTCGTGGTAAGTAATCAATTGCTAAAATTGGGGAGAATGGAATTGAGAGTTGGTGAATGTCAATCCTTTGAGGTAGGTAAAGTCAGGGTAAAAAAGGATTGATTAAGAATCTTGAAATGTATTTTAGTGTGTTTGGGTATTGTAACAGAATTTCGAAAGCCTATTAAAGCCCTCCTCTATTCCAACATATAATTAATACAATGAAAGTGGACTTGTTTTTAGTTTCTTTCTCATGGTTTCTACTTTCCCAGGACCCCGATATCTTTTCTATATGGTTCTACATTCTTCTGGCATTCCATCACACTGAGAGGTCATTCAACAATCATGTATTATTAAGATAATTGCAGTCTGCCACAGTCAAATAATTTTATGCAGGTGTGATTGCAGACGTACATACTCACATGTTCAGAAATAAACAATATGATCTCTGGAAGTGCTGCCATGCCTTTGGTTTTAATCTCAGGGTAGTATTTATAGCGAGCAACTAAAACACTGTAGAGGTTTGATATGCTTCCCCCTGGTAAAAAAATTAGATTTTATTACCCTTTGAATAGCTGAGTGTCGTTGGGAATTAATGCTTCATCTCATCATTTCAAGTCAAACAGACAAATTTCAGATACCAAAGGCAGATTAATTTAAGTTATTCCATGTAGTGAATATGGATCATCCACACAGGTAATGTTCTCAACTGCAATTTTCTAGAAGCAGCTTATTTCCATTCAGGACATTTTTCAATGCCAAAGAAGGTCTGGGCAGAAAAGCCATGACAAGCTTGCTATGTAAGTACAACTAACCTGATTACATTCTCATCCACTAGGATACAGCATAATTTATTAGTGTTAAAAATGATGTTGCATTGATTCCAACATACTGAATTCTATAAATCAGATGGCGTATCATTGTTTCAATCTGGTATGATCCATGTTTGTCGATCAGTGAAAAGTGTTATCAATTATCATCTCTCATCCACTGGTGATTTGCAGCATTGTTATAATTTTATAACCCAAAGATAGTTAAGAACAGAGAGTAGAACAGGATGACTATGACTTTTTTCTTTGTAGGTTCTTATTACAACCCAGCCAATTCAATGATTTTGCCATTTCTGTATTCATTTTAAGGAAGGAGGAAAGTATTGAATGAAGTCCTAGACTAAAGTTGCTGTCGCCAAATCTGTGGAAATGGGACCAGAATTTTGCTTCCCTTTACTTCCCTCGCTGGTTGGCCCCACCCCCATCTATTCGCTGCCTCCCAAGTCCCAGCTGATTGGCTGGGTCTTCTTTTGTTGCCCTGCACAGGAGAACGGAGCTGGAAAGCAGGTTAGTGGGGTTGGGAGGGAATGGGGATTTTAGAGTATCCTTCCCCTGGAGTGGGGTGAAAATGGGGATTTTACAGTATCCTTCCCCTGCCTTACCCACCAAGCCATTCCCACCAAGCCATGCCCACAGAACCAGTAGTAAAAAAAAATTGAATATCACCACTGAGTCATGCCCCATTATCCTCTCATAGCTTTTCTTCTACTGAGAAGTTAAAAGCAATTGCTCCTTCTCTTCTTCTCAGTATGAAGATGCCACATATGGTATTTCCACATAGAAAGAGTAAGGAAAAGATAGCCATCTCACTGGAAACAGAGGGGAAGGATCTCCACAGGCTGGATTTAGAGGCCTTGCAGGACAAACCATTACCTGCAGACCAAAGTTTCCTTTCTTTGCCTTATAGTGACTTCACGTTTGTGTGTACACCTGAGAAAGAGGAAGATATATTGTCCTTAGGTATGTATGTACAATATGTACATATGTTCCCACTGTTATTATTTTTATAAATAACTCAAGAGGACAAACATACCTAATACTCTCTCCTCCTATTTTCCCACAACCAGGTGAGTTGGATTGAGAGAGAGTGGCTGGTCCAAAGTCATTCAGCCATCTTATACCCCTAGGGCAAGACTAGAACTCACTGTTTGAACTGTCAGCAGACTACACTGGTTCCATAATTTGAATAACACTTTTTAATCTAATCACCTGGAGAAAATATGCCATCTGATTCCTTTTCTTCCCATCCAATAATTTCCTGCATTTTCTTCAGCAGGATCTCCTCCATTATGATGAATACTGGTGCTATTTCGTATGTAAACCTGTGAACGTATTTTAATGTAATCAACATAACACAGTCAGAAAATGTAGAAACCTGAAACACATCCAAATTGCTTGACAAAGAAAAAAGAAAGGCAATGATGCAGAACTCCATCTGGTTCATGCAGAAAAGATCTATTCACAGAATCTAGTAACTATACATGCAAATAAAACTATAGAAACATAGCTAGCATGCATGCATTTTATTCCAAGACTTACCTAGGAACTAACAGAGTATAGCACTGGATATGTCCCTTGGGCAAGTACTTCATCATTTTAGCCATTGTCTATCCACTGCAGGATGAAGGCGTCTTCCGCATGTTTCAAATCTATATGATCCTGAGCTTTCTTTTGCCAATTGGGCCTGCAATACTTGCAAGTACTTATGACTACTTATGTGCAACTAAACTTTCAAAAGTAGTCTTTCAAAATTCCTAGAGTCACTCCTACTTTTCTCAAGTGCTTTTCTTGTTATCCATTTGCCATTTTCTAACTAATTGCTAAGCATGCTTTAGCATTATCTGAAATATTAAGGGAATTATATCCAACTATTCTTGAATTACTAATCATAATATATTATTTTTTTCTCATCTTATTTTAAATTGTACTATAATCTAGTGATAGATGAACCTTTCTGGTATATACACTGCTCAAAAAAATAAAGGGAACACTTAAACAACACCATGTCAACTCCAAGTCAATCACACTTCTATGAAATCAAACTGTCCACTTAGGTAGCAACACCGATTGACAACCAATTTCACATGCTGTTGTGCAAATGGAATAGACAACAGATGGGAAGCATAAGCAGTTAGCAAGACATCCCCAATAAAGGAGTGGCTCTGCAGGTGGTGACCACAGACCACTTCTCAGTTCCTATGCTTTCTGGCTGATGGTTTTGTCACTTTTGAATGCTGGCGGTGCCGTCACTCTAGTGGTAGCATGAGACGGAATGTATAACCCACACAAGTGGGTCAGGTAGTGCAGCTCATCCAGGATGGCACATCAATGTGAGCTGTGGCAAGAAGGCTTGCTGTGTGTGTCAGCATAGTGTCCAGAGCATGGAGGTGCTACCAGGAGACAGGCCAGTACACCAGGAGACATGGAGGAGGCTGTAGGAGGGCAACAACCCAGCATCAGGACCGCTACCTCCACCTTTGTGCAAGGAGGGACAGGAGGAGCACTGCCAGAGTCCTGCAAAATGACCTCCAGCGGGCCACAAATGTGCATGTGGCTGCTCAAACAGTCAGAAACAGACTCCATGAGAGTGGTATGAGGGCCCGACGTCCACAGGTGGGGGTTGTGTTACAGCCCAACACCATGCAGGATGTTTGGCATTTGCCAGAGAACACCAAGATTGGCAAATTTGCCACTGGTGCCCTGTGCTTTTCACAGATAAAAGCAGGTTCACACTGAGCACATGTGACAGACGTGACAGGGTCTGGAGACGCTGTGGAGAATGTTCTGCTGCCTGCAACATCCTCCAGCCCTCCATGTGCTCGCCAGAGGTAGCCTGACTGCCATTAGGTACCGAGATGAGATCCTCAGACCCCTTGTGAAACCATATACTGCTGCAGTTGGCCCTGGGTTCCTCCTAATGCAAGACAATGCTAGATCTCATGTGGCTGGAGTGTGTCAGCAGTTCCTGCAAGACGAAGGCATTGATGCTAAGGACTGGCCTGCCCATTCCCCAGACCTGAATCCAATTGAGCACATCTGGGACATCATGTCTCGCTCCATCCACCAACGCCACGTTGCACCAGACTGTCCAGGAGTTGGGGGATGCTTTAGTCCAGGTGTGGGAGGAGATCCCTCAGGAGACCATCCGCCACCTCATCAGGAGCATGCCCAGGCATTGTAGGGAGGTCATATAGGCACGTGGAGGCCACACACACTACTGAGCCTCATTTTGACTTGTTTTAAGGACATTACATCTAATTTGAATCAGCCTGCAGTGTTTTGTTCCACTTTAATTTTGAGTGTAACTCCAAATCCAGACCTCCATGGGTTGCTAAATTTGATTTCCATTCATAATTTTTGTGTGATTTTGTTGTCAGCACATTCAACTATGTAATGAACAAAGTATTTAATAAGAATATTTCATTCATTCAGATCTAGGATGTCTTATTTTTGTGTTCCCTTTATTTTTTTGAGCAGTGTATTACACTTGAATGTAAATGTTTAAGCCTTGTAAATTAGATTTTTTTTAAAGACAGTGATGTGTGTGCATGAGCCTTTGGTGATATGTAGACACTAGTTGTGATTAGTTAATTTATACTAGCTTGTATTTAATTGTGTTTGGGTGTTCCCTACTTTAAACATGGCAAATAATAAATAGAAAAGCATCTATGAAGTCAGTCTTCTTTAACTAACTTGGTTCCTAACCTGGTTTTATCAAACTCTGCCATTCTCTATTGGCACAGTCTCAGCTCACTGGTGGTGATGGGATGGGGGGATGTAAGCCACAATCCAAACACAGAAGCAGAAAAGCAGCAGGGCCAAACAGGTTTTGAGGTCAAATCCAATTAGATTTCCTTTTTTTTTAGATCAAAATGCTACCTTGTATCTGCCTGACTTGTTCTCTGTTGTTTATGATTAAATGTTTTAGTCACAGTTTTGTTTATCAGCATTTTACAATTACTATACTTCACATTTTAATGATTTTAAATCAATATCATTCCACTTTTGAATGTCTTAGACATATTATAAAAAAGATTGAATGAACAATTCTTATAGAATTACAGATTCCATATATAGCATTTATCATCTGCAGAAGAATTTTCCTATTTTCATCCCTTAAAGTAAATACCACTGTATCAAATGTAAGTCCAGAATGTAGAGCTCAAGGCCAGAAAGATGCGTGGTGGTCTACCCAAAATATGTTCCATTAGTAAAGTTCTGAAATGTTATGGTACTCCATAAAATCCAAACACATTATTGCTAGACGTGAGGACAAATACCTTATATTAATGAGTGACTTGAAAGTGAATACATCCTAAACATTTTTCAATTTGCTTTTAACCATCAGACTAGAATTCACAATCAGCTTCAGATTTGGTAGTTCACATACATCTGGCCACACCAAACGGCAGCCATTTTCTCTATTTACAATGTGAGTACCAGTTAAATTTGATGTAAAAGCCTTGTCATAGACCCATAAAAGTAAGAACTCTAACCAGGGAAAATGTGATGGCCATTCTCTTTCACATTTTTTTTACTGTTATAAGATTCCTATTTCTTCTGCCTCTCTTTTGTCACCTCTCTGTAATGTTGATTGAACGCATCTATAGTGCACTTCTATATTTTTTCTCTGAGCTATTCTAAAACTCTCTAAATAAAATATCAGTGTAATGAACTTGTGTCCTAGAACCACCTTCTTCCCACCACTTTGGGATGAGAGAACTTTATTTCTATTTCATGTTGCTTCATATACCACATAAAGTAACTCGCTAGGATGGGCAGGCATATAAATCAAATAAATCAATACATAAAAGTTGTGTTGGCCCATTCTAACTTTTCTATTGTATAGAAAAGTTCGTATCGTATTGAAACTTAAGTTTCCAGGAGGATGTCCTTGAAAGAAAAGGAACTCTAATAGACTCCTTAATAGAAAATGCATATAAAATGTGAACAATAGTACAAATTGTTTTCACATCCATACAAAATGGGCAAGGTGAAGCTATAGTTGCATATTGTTATGCTTGAGGTTTTAGGTTCCTGGGCAACTAAGAGTTTAATTTTATACACTAATTTTAAATATCAAACATGCTGCACATAGATCAAACTGTTTAGCAATGAAATTGGAGCTTTTTTCAAAGCTTTTGAAGAGTTGAACTGATGCCATCTTGTATCACAAAAGGTTCTCTTTGTTCCATTCAAATTATTAGATACTTAACCCAGAAGAGGAAAATGATTAAATTTTCTGACATTTTGTATAATTTGCCATGACTGTTAATTCTCTTTGTATCTGAAGTTCTCAACAACCTTCCTATCAACTCCTGTGATTTTTTTTCCAACAATCCTTCCCCCTCCATTTCTTGCACAATGCCATCTTGTTAAAATTTTATCATGGAGATGAATTCTGATGCTCAGAATGTTACACGGGTGACTGTAGCATTACCAAAAGTGTTATGTCCTGAGGACTCAAGGAGTTCTCACTCAGGTCCACTCACTTTGTGTGGGCGTTATTCCCCCATTCCCCATTGGTTGGTTCTCCCCAGCAGCCAGCTATAAAAGCAGGCTGCGGGGTCCAACTGGCTGCTGATTGCTGCGAGCCAGTTCCAGGCTTGGCAAGCACGGTCAGCCCTTTATTTGTAAAATAAAGTACTGTTGCACTCATGCTCTGGTTCAGCCTCTCATTGCTCAAACTTAACAAAAAGTATTTCAATTCTTTTCTGGCTTGAGCAGAAGAACTACCCTCTTCTATATTCTCTATATTAAGCACTATTAATATTGATAGGTGAACTACTTGAGAGCTAAAGTTTGTTTTCAGCAATAAATGCCAAATTATTTTTGTTTCTCTTGAATAAAAGAAAAAAATGGTGGAGAAAGTACAGGCTTGGTTTAAAACAATTCATTTAGTGACTGTTCAAAGTTACACTGGCACTTGAAAAAAAGTGACCATTTTTCACAGTTACAACTTGTGCATCATGTGATCAAAATTCAGATGCTTGGCAACTGGTTCACAGTTCTCACTGTTGCTCTGTCCCAAGATCATGTGATTCCCTCTGGAGACCTTCTGTCAAGCAAAGGCAAAGGGGAAGCCAGATTCACTTAACAACCATGTTAGAAACTTAACAACTGCAGGGATTCACTTAACAACTCAGGCCGGAAAGATCGTAAAATGGGGCAAAACTCACTTAACAAAAGTTAACAGAAATTTTGGGTTCAATTGTAGAGGTTAAGGACTATCTGTACTACTAATGAGACTAGAAAACTGTCAGCATTCATAGGCCTTTCCTTTTGGATCAACAGAAAAAAGAACTAAACAATGTCAACATGCTAAGCTTTCATTTGCACTTATTATTTATTGCACATGATCCAACAAGTCAATTAGACACAATGTATCAAGGATTCATCATTTAAAGTTTCAATCAGAGTTTTCTTAATAGATTTGGGAAAACTGAGGAGTTGCTAAGCTCCCCAAGTTCTAAGAACTTAGTGGAGCATGCTGTTCATGCTTCTTACCCATCCCACAAAAGGAAATAGTCTTTAAGGAGTGGTAATTTATAGATTTCTCAGAACAAAATTCAAAATCCAGATGGGAATTTGTTTCCATGTGCTTTTTATTAAGAAAGAAAGCATGGAAGCATGAGCAGCTTAATCCTAAAGAGAAACTTATTTTTTTTCCAGTAGAAAAATGTGTCTTTTTATAGAACAGTATACACATACTTCCAATGCATTGCAAATGCTTATTTATTTGATTTACATACTTCCCAGATGGTAAATATATTTTGTTCTATATAAACACGTAAAAATTGAGAACCACATGGAAATGGAAAAAATTAAGGTGGCAATATAAAAGGCTAGTATAAAAGAAATAAAAGTAACACATTAAAAAAAACCAAATAGTTATTGGAACATCTTGTTTTAGTATTTTAAAAAGTATGTATTCCTGTGCTTATATGCACAGACATGTGTGTATGTGCACAGGCAGGCACATATATAAAGAACATTTCACTGAGGTTGGTGGTCCTGGAAGAATGTTTGTACCAACGAAGTCCTTTCCTTGTTGGAACTCAACGAATCTTTTCATTCTTAAAGAGCAATTAAATATTCTGCTGAAATATTATTTAATCTTATATTAATTCCTATATAAAACCGGGATTATAGTACATACATGTTTGTATTTGCAGTAGCTGTCAACCATTCTCCAACAAGTCCTATAATGTCAAGGCCACTGGAGAGTTGGTTGAAATAACGGGGATGTCCTTAAAAATATAAATGATAGAAATACATCATTTTAAGACACTTCTTACTATTGCAGTAAAGAAGCCAGTTGGAACATGGTGTAAAAAAGCTTTTTGCCCACATGCCTTAGTGTTTTCTATGTAAAAAGAGTTCACATTTTTATGGGGCTATAATATCCATCAAAACATTCATGGCACAGCAATGAACAAAGAACAAAAGCCTCCTCAGAAATCTGCATTACAAAAGACATTTCTGAGAGATGCGTCTGAGAAAGAGTAGTATCAAAAATTATACAGTCCATGGAAGTTTGCGCCACGGAGATTTATATTTTAAAAGTCTACATCAGAAAAGCTTAAAAACATAAAATCTAGTATCAGAGTGAAAGAAAGGCAAAGGACATCCCCCATCCCTTAAAATTATAGTCTCTATTGAGAATTGGCATTTGCAGGCATCTGCTAATGCATGAAAAGTAATGGAATTAGTTTAGCTAGTAAAATCCTCAGAACATGCTTGCTCAGGGTGAACAAGGCAATTGTGTGCACAAGAAACCCGAGGGCCACAATATTAGGGAAATATATATTGAAAAAAGTTTTACAGGTACGTCAAAGGGAAACGTTTAAGAAAAGAGGAACTTGGAGAGGGGGGGTATAGTATCCTAATTATAGCATCATGTGCTACTTGTTACTGGAAAACAGGGGAAAATGTACTGATGACTCCTAGGCATTGCAAATGCAAGTTAAGCAATATTAACAATATTGCCTTAAGGAGGGCTTATGGAGAAGTATTTATACTACTGTATTTATTACTATTGCAGGAGTGTCCTTGACATGGGGCTAATGGGAACGAACCCCTGTGTCCTTTCTTCTGTGCAGAATAAAGCTTTTGTAAATCTCCACCTGGGTGTGTAGTTTATTGGGCATTGCACGCCGAGCAGAAAACCAGTTTTCTGGGACAACAAGGAGACTTTGTATTTAGTTCTGGGAAGTGCCATTTTTCCTGACTTGGCTTCACCCTCTGCTCAGTTTCTCTTTCCCTGCAGCACTTGAACCTCTTAATATGCTTGCTTGTTTGAAGTTTTTCACCTTTTACCCTTCTCTCTGCATTTTCTCAAAATTTCTGCAGGCTTTGTGAAAATAACTGAGATATAAATTTCAGATATAAATTTCAAATCCATTAAAATACCTAATACCTTTTCCATGCAGACAGCTATATTATTAGTCACTCGCTCAGACAAGCTGTGTTTGCTTCCTTCTATCAGGCTCCAAAGGTAATAGGCCACATGAAAAAAAAAATCACACCTGGAAGAGATTTTTGTGCCCCTTTTCCCTCTCTTTGACTTAAGAGTAAAAGACTGTAATTCCAAATAAAACTTGACATGTAAAGTTTTTGTCGTATGAGCAGGACAGAAGGTTATTGCAAGAGCACTCAGACTTATATACTGCTTCACAGTGCTTTACAGCCCTCTCTAAGCAGTTTACAGAGTCAGCATGTTGCCCCTGACAATTTGGGTCCTCATTTAACCAACCTCGGAAGGATGGAAGGACGAGTGAACCTTGAGCCAATAAGACTCAAACTGCTGAACTGCTGGCAGCCAGCATTCAGCAGAAATAGTATGCAGTACTGTATTCTAACCACTACACCACTATGGCTCTTATATAGGTATATGCATTCCTTTCTCCACCATGCAAACAAGGCAAGTGTAGATACTAGTTTTGTGTCTATGCTGAAGTGGAGTTTTGGGGGAAAAAAATCAGTTGTTTATTACGTGAATAAATATAGTAGTATAAAAAGAACCAACAACTGGTCAGTAAGTGAGGACTACCTGTGTTTGGAAGCATTTTGCCTTTAAAAGTGAAGGTTTCATTTAGATGATGAACAGATGTGGGAACATCTGACGGAATTGCTTAAAACAGTTCTGCAAAATCACATTGTACTGTTAGTTACCTGTTTTAACACCATATTTCAAAGTGTCCCTGCAGTCCACAAGAATTTGCTCTAGAGATTCAGGGTGATCAGAAAGTTCCAAATTGAAGCTTTCTAGCCCTTCCAGAAGCTGATGTGGATGGTGGAAATCAAGCACTTTGCTCTTTCTGTCAAGAGTCTTTTTGATGTAACTGAAGATAATATCTACCACTTCATGAAGAAAATGTTTGGTGCATTCCTCACCATTCCAAGCTGGCAACAAATCTAAGGAAACAGCCCCCATTAAAACAACATGTTGTGAAAAGTAGAATTTAAAAGGAAAAGTAATGATAGATCTGAAACAAAGAATTGTCACATGGTTGGAGGATTCTTTCAAAATTGTACTTCCTTAACGGGATAGAAAAACAAAGGTCTTCTAGTTCTTTCATTGTTTTTTGGCTTTATAAAAAGATAAGGCACTTTTTCAAACTTTCCTAAATAAGCCTGTTAAAATTAAAAACGTTAAGCCATTTCCAAGAATAAATAATTTTACTGAGAGTGATACCCTACAAAAATTAAGAAAGTAAATAAAGTGGTGGAACAAAACTTTATTCTCTTTAGAAAAGAACAAAGCCATTGAAATTTCCCTATATATGTTAACATGTATCCTTTCAAACACACAAACTGACAAATTGAAAGATGCACAAATTGAAAAACGTATTTTCAAATAAATGTTACTATCACCTGACCCATATACATTTGAAAAATTTGTTTCAACGTTTTGAAAAGCAGATTCTTTTTCTTTCTCTTCATATTCTCCATGGAAAGTGGAAATATGTTTGGATTTCTGTTGGTGAGGTTCTGAATGGGCTGGTCCATCTGGGAAAGTAGCACAAGAATAATCATATTTTCAAAAGTTACCATATCAATATTTGAGTAGCAGGTAAAAGATCTTAGATGATTAACTGTCATGGCAAAAGTAACTGCCCTAAAAGGTAGCCTCAAACAGGAATACAGAATTTTAGGAGCAAAAATGAAATAACTAATGTATTATTATTCTTCCTCTGACATTTTTATCTTCTTGGTACATAGTCTTAATTGATAGCTTTGATTGATATTATAATGATAAGTTTTCTAGAGTTGTAGTGTGTGATATCTTTCTCATCTCCAGCTATTTATTTTCTTTCTTTGGCTTATAATTTCAATTAATATATTTTTGTCTATCTTCAGCCATAAATGTGATTCTTAAACTTGCATATGTTGTATGTACAATGTTTACGGTTGTGGCCCACCAGTGGCCAGTGGAGCTGGCAGCAGATTTGGACAGTGAGGAGGTTGGGAAGGAACATGGGCCAGTCCTGGAGTCTGGGAAAGGCTCTGACAAGTGCTCTGCAAAGGAAGCATCTGACAGTTATCAGCTGCCTTTGGAGTTGGAGATCAGTAGGGGCAGAAAAACAGCTGGAGCCTGTTCCCAGTGTGCGCCTGTAAAAGCTGCCAGGAGAAAGGAACAGTTAAGGAACAATGGTCGACTCGGGAATAAGGGCACAGATGGGTGCTGAATGGCCCCTCCCATAGGGAATAAAAAGGAGCGAAAGGGGAGAGGTGTTTGCAGGAGACAAGTACTGTAGTTCAATTCATTAGAGTGATGATCTGTTCCTGGCTTCTTGCCAAGTAATTTTTGCTACAGCGTGGTGTTTGGAAGATATTGGCCTGGCAATTCTCCAAGCCTGATAAAAGTCTGTAGTTGTGACATCTCATGAAAGACTGTTTGTTGGGACTTTGCTGGAGAGGAATTCACTTGAACCTAAGGGGTTTAACTATCAGGATGAAGAGTCTGCTTCATGATCTTGGGAAGCCTAGAATTGTTTACTTTTTAAACAATTTTTTGACACTGAAATATTCAGTGTGACTGCAAATGTTTAATATGCTGGTTTGCTTTGAATACCATATTTAATATACACAAAGGAAAAACAACTTAAATATCAGGTTCCTAAACATAAGAACAGTCTTATCTCACTTTCATCTCACTTATGCTTTGGTAGACTGAAACCTCTGTCAATCTATCTGTGTTCAGGTGAAATTTTAATTTCATTAAAAATAAACTGAACAAAACAGAGAACAAATCATTATAAGGTAGAGGTGTAAGCCCCACAGTATAAATCAGATTAAAATGATGTCACCTTGCAAACATTACATTGCATAAGTGTTCTGGATTAGCTCTTTTTATAACCCAGATTTATAGCATTCAAAGAAAAGACTGAACATGCTCTCACTTTATTTTGTTCTGAACCCCCACCTTTTCTTTTCTGTGCTTAAAATAAACACGGGGTTTGCACTTCTTGTTTGGTCCAACATGATTCATCCACCAGTTCTGAAGTGCCAGAATGCATCACCTGACCATTTGCCCTTCTACAGGAATCAAGGTGAACACAACTTCTGCCAATGTTTTCTTACTTTACCTCAGAACTAGTATTTTTCACTTTCTGATAGAAGAAGAGATAACAGCTGGTTTGTCTGCTACATTTCACTGAGTATAAACAATGGACTAGTATGTGTAGTTAAAGGAGCACACCTCCTCTCCCTTGTTGCTACAATGCACAACCATTTTATTTAGTCCTAAACTAAATGTGCTGCTCAGAAGAAATAATGCACTCTCTCTAAAATTCAAATTCTTCCATTTTCCCAAGTTTGGGTCCATAATCTTTCCTGCAAGGATTGTTCTAATAGGGTTTCACTTGTATGGCATTGTCTTCTGGTATGGCATTGTCTTCTGGTATGGCATTGTCTTCTGGTTTATCTATCTTTATTTTCTAGTTATGGTCTTGGGTGTTATGTCATCTGAGTACCAATTGATTGGTATATCTTCCTAGTGCTTGATTCCCCTTATTAATACTTTAGTAAGGAGAATTCTGAGGAATCCTGAAAAGTACTAAGTTATGGCCACCCTGGATCCAAGGTATTTAAGGGCTTTCTTTGTGTCCTTTATTGTACTTAGAAGAACATCATAGGTTTTATGGACATGCATTTTTCTGCATTAGTGTTAGTCTTTCCAGGAAGACCAGACAAGCTGCTACTACAGACATGTCGGGAACAACAAAGCACTTCTGGGTTGAAAGGATAGAATAGTAACACCATTGCCCAATTGGGGATCATTTTATATGCCCATTAAGTTGTCCACCAAAGTGGTACCCATCTATCTGCTTGCAGTTGTTCACTTTCAAACTGCTGGATTGGCAGGAGGTGAAGCATGTGTCAAGAGCTGATCCTAACTTGTGCCATCAACCAGGTCTGGAACATAGGCCTACCAATTTGTCAGCCAGAATCCTAACCATGAGCCACTGTGCTCCCTGTCTGATGAGTTCATTCGACTTTATTGTAGAACAGAAGCATTAACAGAACCTTTTAAATCTGGAAGTACAAATCTTCAGCCTGATGGGTTAAGTAGGATATTTTCTGAATTTCTTTCTCTGTCCACTATGTAGCTGTGGGAACAGCCTCCCATCTGATCATTCCCTGTTCTGTCTCGCCTTTCCTCTTTCCCAAAAGATGAAAGAGTACAAACTCACACAAACACAGGCAGGCAAGCTGGCTCAGACTTCACAGAGTTAATTCTTTGGAACTGATAATATTCTTGGCATTCCCACATGTCCTGCCCACCAAGTCCGAACTGGTAAAGTTTTACTCACAGAAAATCACAAGGCAGTCCACAAAAACAGTCATTCACGAAGAAAATCTGAAGTAAGGTTAAAGTTTGTCCCATACAAAGTTTCAGGAGAAAACACACCCACTTTTATCCCCTGTGGGGTGTGGCTCAATGACTCAGAACACTCTCTGCCCCTCCCACACCTCCTACATTGCTGCTCACATTTCTCCCTACGACGCTGCTTAGAATCGAGCCAACACTCTTCCTCTTTACTCCCTGTCAGGGGCTGCTCCGATATGCCTTCCTCCTGATTAATCTCAGGCTGTTTCTCTCGGTTGTCTGATGGAACCTGAGGCATTATCAGGGAGGAAGGTCCTGGGGAGGAAGGCTTTCCCAGTTCCTCCTCTGACAGCATAGGCTCGGGAATCAGGGCCACAACAATTCCCTATGAAGTGTCTCCCCCACTCCCCACAAAGACATCTCCCAAGGCCATTTGCAGGTATCATTACATGTGATTGGAGTAGTGGTTAAGGCTCCAGTATAGAAACCAAAAGACTAGTTTTAGTCCTGCATTAGGCATAAGTGCAGCATGAGCTAACCATCCTCTCAACCCTAAGAAGCAGGCAAGAGGGAACGAACCACTTCTGAAAAACTTTGCCTAGAAAACTGCAGGGTCTTTTTCAAGCAGACCAGGTGTCACTAAAACCCCACTAAAACACATCTTCCTGCATTACTTCTAAGAGCACATCGGTTTCTTACGAGTTTACATCTGCTGAACACTGCCATATGGCAACAATGAATCTACTGGCAAATGAAAACAACAAATGGTTACCTAGAAAAGTGAAATTATCATATGAAAACAAAAACGGATTACTGTTTTTCTTTTTAATCAAAAGCACCATGTCCATAATAAAGCAGATGAAAGAGTCATGTGAGTTATGAAGTTCCATCATGAGACTCTAAACATATTTAGAGTTCAAGAAGGTTTCTTTGGTGTTTCTTTTTTTAAAATAAACTAATGTATTTGAAATTTAAAAAAAAAATCTCTTCTAACCTGGCAGGAAAGAAAAGAAAAGGGGTTGTAAGATTTAAGTGTTTCTTTTCCAGCACACTTTTTTTTTCATAAAACCCACAAATGAATTATTTGGATCATTTTGAGATGTCCAGAGAAATACAAGCTTTACCTGCAAGAACTTTTTCTGCTCTTCTTGCAGGTGTTTTTCCATAGATATCTTCCAACTGTCATCCATTTCAAAATTGTCATCCATTTTCCCCATTCCCAAGATCTTGGTCAGCTGCAGAGCGATCCTAAAGCTATTTTCTGTTTAGGGAACTCTGGAAGAGCTAGGATATTTTTGGAGGGATGAGACAATCATACCTTTAGACTTACTTGTTGTATTGGTAATCATCTGGAAATCCATCTGTTTTCCTCTGAATAATCATGCACCACTGAGTAATATCAGCAATACTAAAAGGATAAGAAAAAATTGTAGCAATAGAACTGAATATAGGTATTCACAAATGCATGTCCTGCTGAATTTGTTTATTTTATTACAGAGCACATAGTTTTATATTTCTAGACTGCTCGGTGCTTCTGGACGTGCCACTACATGATTGGAAAATGTGTGGAGACAAAAGTTTCAGACTAAATTAAGGAACTTTTTCTTAAAGAGACATTGCTGATTTTATTACTTTAGCCATTTGTTCATTCTTATTCAAGTTCAGCAAACTGAACAAGAACTGATGAGAAATAAATACGTAACCATTAATATGGCTTGTTCTTCTATTTCTCCATCTTCCTGGAACAAACTTGTTCATGAAAAGAAGTTTTTATGAAAAGACGTTTTTGAAAAGAATGTGCTGTTGGCTGAATCAGGAAGAAAAAAAAGACTGTTCCATGAAATATCTTGGAATCTTCAGGACATACACAAAACAGGATATATCTAGAGATAAATCTGTGTTTGTTATTTGGAATGACTACCTCTTTGTCCTTTAAGAAATAGCTGATGGGAAACAAAAAAGTGTAAGAAAACACCTATGGAAGTACTTTGGCACAATGGTTTTTCTATAGCTCTATTTATACCTTCTTTGAGGTGGAATGAAATAATGTTATGCCAAAAACTACCTTGAAGTTTCTCAAAACTTTTTGTTCCTCTTCCAGAAATCTGGTTCTTATTCCAGCAGATAACCCTATTTTATTTTAGCTTTATTTTACAATTAAAAAGATAAAACTAGTGATTAAGGCATCAGCCTAGAAACCAGGAGATCAAGAGTTCTAGTCTGGCCTTAGGCATGAAATCCACCTGAGTGACTTTTGGTCAGATACTTTCTCTTGATCCAACTCACTTCACAATATTGTTGTGGGGAAAATAGGAAGAACAAGGAGTATGTTTGTTTATTTGTTTATATATTCATTCATTCATTTGGGTTGTTTATAAAAATACTAAAGGTGGGATGCAAAAAAATAACTACGGAAATTAAAAGCAAGAAGAAAAAAATAAAAAGTGCAGAAATTAAAGAAAAAGGAAAACAGAAAAGGAAAACACAACAAAATGGTAAAGAAAGGAAATATATAAACTTACGACTTCCTTTTTCATCACAAGTAGTAAATTATCACCACTTAAAATATAACAAGTGATATCTTCTTCCCATATATCTAATCAATAAGTAGACCCTTAAAGCTTTGTCATTTGATGGGTTTCAAAGACCAGTCATTGTGCAGGGTGCCAAGATGTCTGACTGACTGGTCAGTGTTTCTTCTTTTATACCATTTTTACAAGCAAGGAAGAGTAGCATAGATACAGCATTTGGATTGGAAAATAGATCCCACATGGGTGAAACCTTCCAACCAATCCATAAGACTAGTGGTGATGTTAGTAAAATGAGATCACCTATAAGCCTGGAAAGTCCAGGACTTTCCAACCCAACAAATAGAGGATGAGATCATGTAGTAACAAAAAGGCCCCTATAGGCTTCAGACACTGCAGTTTGCTGCTAGCATCTAGCACCATCCATAGGATCTCAGTAGCTACTACAGTCATTCAGTCCTGATCAACAGAGTTACTGGAGAAGACAATATATCTATTTTAACCTTGATTAAGTAAACCACCTTTAAATTCTGTCCTTATACTTTTAACGGTCTTTATTTTAATTCCAACAAATAATGTCCTGGATTCCTAGAACTTTATTTCTTTCCATTTTTTCTGTGCCCCTTCTTATAAAAGTCTATAAAATTTTAACATATCTTATAAATCCAATATGAGGAAATGATCTAGATCACTTTTTCAGTTTAATCTTTTAATTCTTAAGATATGAGCTAGTTTCATTTGTACATCCAGTGTAGGATCTTTTTCCATATCAATCCTGTACTCTGTTAAATCACTTTCAGATCAGTCTCAGTCTATCCTCTTCAGGGTAATCTTTGAAATAAAAATTGCAATCTTGCTAGTAATATGCAAGCTTGCTCCCTCCAAGAAGTAAGACACCTTTTCTTGGGTATCCCAATAATTTTTACTTTTTAGGTAAGGATCTAACTAAAAAGCCATTTCTACAGAATATGTAGTGTTTTTTATTTATTTATTTTTATTTATTTTATTTTGTCAAGCGATTATAAGATAACAGGTATAAGTATAAACATAGTTATGAATACATGAAATGGATACATATAAGAAAAATAAAAAAAAACAATAGGACAGGGGTGGTAGGCACGGTGGTGCGCTTATGCACGCCCCCTACAGACCTCTTAGGAAAGGGGTGAGGTCAACAGTAGACAGTCTAAGGTTAAAGTTTTTGGGGTTTGGGGAAGAAACCACAGAGTCAGGTAGAGTATTCCAGACATTGACCACTCTGTTGCTGAAGTCGTATTTCTTGCAATCAAGTTTGGTGTGGTTTACCTTGAGTTTGTATCTATTGTTTGCTCTTGTATTGTTATGGTTGAAGCTGAAGCAATCATTAACAGATAGGACATTGCAATATATAATTTTATGTACTATACTTAGATCAGACCGAAGTGGTGGAGTTCTAGGTTTCCTAGGTCTAGAATTTCAAGTCTGGTGGCATAAGGTATTCTGCAATGAGTAGAGGAGTGGAGAACTCTTCTTGTGAAATATTTCTGGACTTTCTCAACTGTATTTATATCAGATACGTGATGCGGATTCCAGACTGATAAGCTGTATTCGAGTATTGTTCTAGCAAATGTTTTGTATGCTCTAGTTAGTAGTATGATATTACCAGAGAAAAAGCTATGCAGGATTAGGTTAACAACTCTTAATGCCTTTTTGGCTATGTAGTTACAGTGGGCTCTAGCACTTAGATCATTAGAGAAGAGTACTGCAAGGTCCTTGACAGAGTTTGGCTCATCAACAAGGTCTTGACTATTTAGCTTGTATTTTATTTTCTGTTTTTTTTTTTGCCAATATGTACGACAGAGCATTTATTTGTTGAGATCTGAAGTTGCCATTTGTTTGACCATTCTGATACATAGCCAGGGTCTTTTTGAAGGGTGGCAGTATTGTCTGTGGTGTTGAACAGCTTTACAAGATCAGTGAAGAGAACGCAGTTGCTCTTAATATGATCACAGAGGTCATTTATGTAGAGTATGAAGAGAGTTGGTCCTAGAACACTGCCTTGGGGGACACCACTGTTGACAGGTACAGAATTTGATAGGACGCTCCCAATTTTGACCATTTGTTGTCTATTTGACCGGAATGCTTCTATCCAGTTATGCAGGTGTCCAGAGATACCATAAGTTTTAGTTTTAAGAGTAGTTTGTCGTGTACCACTGAATCAAAGGCTTTACAGAAGTCAATGTAAATTGAGTCTATTGCTTTGCCCTGATCGAGTTGTGTAGTCCATATGTTTCTGCAGTGTAAGAGTTGCAGATTACAGGATAGTTTTTTTTCTGAAACCAAATTGTTTGTTAGAGAGTAGGTTGTTTGTCTCTAAGTGGAGGATTATGGATTGGTTAATAATTGATTCCATGACTTTACAGGTGATGCAGCATTCTATCAAACAGGATATTTATGATGTCTTCAATAACTGGTACATCACATTCTTTCTTTGAATGCCTTAATGCAAAAGACTGACAAGATGACTATGCAATGATAGAGGATATCACATATACACTTGGTAAGATCTCAACTAAATTAGTGAAGGAATAGCAGACGCCACATTAGATAAATTTATCCTATTTCTCTGAAATTCATTTTGAAAGCAAATTTAATCGTTATTAAAAGATTTTATGTCTGGGTTGCTCATTTCTCATTTTTGGGACAGAACTGAATATTGGCACATTGGCTAAATCATTTCCTCCTTTTCTGTAGCATTCCAAATTCTGTTCTTCATACAGTCTTCAACCCTGGCATAAATTTCTGGAATACTATGTGAGATATGGCTTTACAAAGGTTGATAAATAATAGCTCCTAGAATCTTCATGACTGGCTGTTCTGTTTTCTTCCAAACACTAAGCATTTATTATAGCACTTTGTGAAACAACAGTAAATATAACATGCTATGTTCAAAGTATAAAAGATTAGCAATAAATTAATAATAATCTTCATTTTTCCCAGTGTTAATTTTTGCAAGACTTAAATAATATGTACTCTGTTCACTGAGTCTTACTTTCTAAAACTAATAAAACAATCATATAATGAGTAACAAAACTTATTTACTCCAAAGTAAGTCTCATTAAGTCCAATGGGACTTCCTCTCTCTTAAATATGCAGAAGAATGTGATAACATATTCCTTTTTATTTATGCCACTGAAGTATTTTCAATAGACTAGGTAATTTCTCACACCTTTCATTTATGGACAAAAATACTTCCCCATGTAATGTTATGTGTGATTTTTTTTATGATGGGAGATTATTTATTGTATATTTTTATTACTTTTGTTTGTATGTTTCTCAGCTAACCCATAAGTCACATGAGCTTTCTTCCTCTGGTGGAAATAGGAATAATTGGTCAATTCTTAACTGCAAATCTTTGAATACTAAAACTCTGTCACAGGTGAATAAGAGGAGATCAGATGCGATTGTAATTTTTGTTGTCAAGAGATTGCTGTGGCAATAATCTTTCATGCTAGTGGGGAAAATCAAGCATCTTTTGAAAATTAAACAACAGAGCAAACAAATAACAACATTAAATAAGTTGCAAATGTTATTTATAATGTCATCAGTTTTGTGCTTTACCAAGTAAAAAAAGTAACATCAGATTTTAAACCTGGGATGACACATCTGGTCCAAAGAATTTTCTGAAATAGAAAATTGAAGTATTATTAATTGCTCTTTCTGGCAGTTCCTAGTAGCTACCTCTCCCTGGCGTTTGCTGACTCCCATATTTCTCGTTGGGAGAGGGAGCTGATGAAGAAATTTCACCTGCTAGGTTTTACGGGAGATGCCCTGGGAGATTATGGCCTTAAGGATGCCCAATTTAGGATAGTCCAACAGCTTATGGACATTGACTTGCAATATCTATGAGCCAGAGCCAACAAAACCTGCTCCTCTTTGATCTTCAGCCAATTTAATAATTACGGACTGAGGAT